GAAGTTTCATATGTTTTTTATTATATTTTAATTAACTCAAATAAAATGTAATATGGTTATTTAAAGATCAAACAAAATTGTTCCGGAAAAAAAATTAATGCGTAAGCTAGTGTAAGAAATTAAAAATATTGTTGGTCTATTTTATACATATTTATTCTCTTAAATTATTTGGTTAGTTATTTAATGTTGTTAGTCTAATTTAATTAGAGTTTACTTTGTTTGGGTGAATAAATCTGAAGCATGGTAAAACTCTAAGATCTAAGTCAATCACATAAGAACTAATTTCAACCTAATTTCCACAATTGAAGACTCAAGTGAAAAAATAAAGTCCGAAGGAATCCTAAAGCATAATAGAGAAAAATAAAATAAATGGCCAATGAAATTAGCCTTAAAATTACAAGTGCTACAAGAAAGAGAAGAGTTTTCTTTTATTATTACTGATATGATCGAGGCCCATTATTGAGCCATGTTGACATGTTTATTAAATTATGATGAACACATGCCATTGTGGTGCTTTCCACCACATTAACTTAGTTTAGCATTTATTATGCCGCACAAATGGCGTTAGAAAATTGAAGATGAAATGAATAAGGGACGGTGGGAGAAAATTAAAAGAGAGTTGCTGCTCCTTTAGCCCTAGCCGCCCTCCCCCTTTTGTGAGAGATTGTTTTTCAATTCTTTAACAAAATCTGGATATCATATGTGCTGTCCTTTTCTTGGATTGACTAGAGAAGAGATCAAAGACATTGAAGGAGCCTCCATCTCCGTATAATCTATAATCCTTGTATGGATTATTTATTTTGTGTGTGTGTGTATATATATATAATATGACCCTTATCATGGGATTTGAGTGATCAATGAACCAAAATTTTGTTTTATTCCACTGCCAAGGTTCATTGGTTAATTACATAAGCCACAATCCTTAAGATCACTTCACTTACCATTACCAATTTTAGTGTATAAATAACCATAAAAAACTCATATTCTTGTAATCCCTCATATTCAGGGGCGGATTTAATGAATGACGAGTGGGGACCACGACCCCCACTCAATTTTTAAAAAATTTCAGATTTTATATTTTTATTTATATTTATTTAAAATTTTCCCATATAAAACTTTGAAATTTTGAGAACAGAACAGTCTGACCCCTATGGTAAGTTTGGATTTTGTTTTTGTAAAACCTTGTTTTTAATCCTAATATATTTATTACATATTCGTTGTGGTTTTTATTTTTATGCAAGGACATCTGTGAGTTTTTAAAAGTTTTATTGGGATTGAAAATGAAAGGAATAAGAGCTGTTGGGTTTGCATGTAACTGAGGGGAGAAATTTGGGCATTTTTACAATAGAAAGTTGATCAACTTAGTCCTTTTGTTCTCCTCTGTGTGTGATATGCTTGAGGTTATTGAAGAAGACGGTTTAAATCTTGAACAAAAGGGTGAAATATGTAATCTATTAGATTTAATCTATTCATTTGATTTTGCATTTAGCTTGCATATGATGAAAAGTATATTGGCAATAACTAATGAGTTGTCACAAGCATTGCAGAGAAAAGATCAAGACATTGTAAATGCTATAGCCTTAGTCAAAGTTTCTAAACAATGGTTACGATTGCTGAGAGACGAAGAATGGGAATCTTTGTTGAGTAAAGTTTCTCCATTTTGCCAAAAACATGATATTGCCATTTTGAATATGGATGATATGTTTGCAATTCGAAGGTAACCATGATGGAGAGTTGAGCACATGACAAATTTGCATCACTATCGAGTTGAATTGTTTTATACAGTGATAGATATGCAACTTCAAGAACTTAACACTCGTTTCTCTGAGGTTAGTACTGAGCTACTTCTTTAATTTGTATGACATGTTTAGATCAAAGTAATTCATTCTCACTTTTGACAAGCATAAGTTGATCCATTTTGCCCAGTTTTATCCATCTGATTTTTACTACACTTGAGTTGATGGTACTTGAGAACCAGGCTGAGACTTATGTTATTGACATGTGTTCTTGTGATGAATTTGCTGAGTTACAAGGAATTGGTGATTTGGCTAAGAATTTAGTTCAATTTAAAAAAGACATTTTGTATCTGTTGGTGTATAAGCTTGTGAAACTTGTATTGGTTTTACCAGCTACAACTGCGACTGTTGAAAAAGCTTTTTCTACAATGAATCTTGTGAAAAGTCAGTTACGCAACCGAATGAGAGATCAATGGATGAACAATTGTTTGGTCACCCATATTGAAAAAGATGTATTTGATACAATTGACGATGAGATGATTATCCAACGTTTTCAGAATATGAAAACTCGTCAAAAACAATTGTAGAAAAATTATTTTATTTTTACAAAAATTGTTTTATTTTTACAAAAATTGTGTTTTTTTAAGATATTTATTTGTATTTTGTAACTTTTTGTTGAAACTCATTGTAATGAAAAAAAAATATGAATATGATTGATTTTAATTTATTTTTTGTTTATTTTTTGCCCCCATCGAGTGAAATTCTTGGATCCGCCACTGCCATATTCAATATAAGAACAGTAGACGTAGACTTGCAGTTAGCTCACCAAACCATTTTAAAAAGAGTTATTGTCTTTTGATTTAATCTTCATTGCTGATTATTTGTAATCACGCAATCCGATCCAATTCCATCAAGATCAATCAGATTTCTCTAATTAATGTTTTTGTATCAATATACTAGGATCGTGATTCTTTGTTCTTGATCAGGTAACTATGATGTGTTGGTAAACTGATTTTCACAATAAGATATAAAAACCATTAAAAGGGTTTTTTTATTTTTTTTGAAAAAATAAAGGGTTTTTTTTTTAATCAATTTGCAGGCATTTGTTTTCAAAACTTAATTATGTAAGACACAAGCTGACAAGCTCTTAAACTAACAAAAATTAACAAATTCGTATAAAGAATGTTAAATTTAACTTTCAATAAGGCTAAGAAAGTAATTCAACAATTCCAAATATTTCCATAAGTATTTATAAAATTGAAATTACTTTTAAATTGTAAAATCATATTTAGCTGACAAATAATTAAAAAAATAAAATTTTTGATATTTTTGGTTTCTCTGTTTTTAATTAATTAATTATTTTATTTTTTTAATCTTGAAAGTATTTTAAACTTATGAATGATTTTAAAATATTAGAATATATTTTTTGTTTCCTAATTTTTTAAATATCTAATTTTTATAATTTTAAATTTAAAATAATTGAAAATATTTAAATATATTTGTTGATTTTAAGTTTTTAACAAATTTATCTTTTAAGTTTTAAAATTTTATTTACTTTTTAAGTTTTTAAAATTTTATAATAACTAGTACTTTTGATGTTTTTCCTTTAAATATTTGTTAAGGGGCATTTATGTCTTTTAATCATTTTCTGTTAAATCAAACTGCAACTAATAGTCTTTGACTTTGTCCCTTTTTTGGCGTGTATTAAAACTTTTTACTTGCCTAATTCTTTTTTTTTTTTGAAAAAAGTGTCCAAAAATTGATGGTCCGTTTGTTTTATTATTTTGGATATGATTTTGAGAATAATATTTGGTAGTTGAATAGTAGAGTATTACGAGGTAAAATTTAAAAATTTATAAAAAAAAAAACCTCCTAGGTTTGCTAATTTAATAAACACCTCAATATATAAAAATATTGTAAAATGATAAAAACACCCCTATCACCTGCAGTGCCAGATTCCGACCACCACAGCCGAAATTTAGCCGGAAAATTACGTAACAACACATACCGGTCAGATCTGGTGGGTATGGCATTGATATAGCCTTTTTCGGCCAAATCCACCATGGATCTGGTGGATCTTGCCGAAAAATGTCAAATCTACAGCCAGATGTGGCCGTTGACGGTCGAAAAAGGCCAAAGAAGTCCATCTTTAGTCGTTAGCGATGACCATAGATATGGTCGTCGTTTTTGGTCAACGATGGCCAAGATTTGGCTGTCGTTGACCGTCAACGACAACCATTTCTTTGGCCATCGCTGACGACCAGATCTGGTCCTTTCCAGCCAGATCGGTGAATTACGAGTCAGTTCCAGTCGTGGTGTAGGCCGTTGTGACAGATTCCGGCTACCACCGACGGTGGTTGCCGGAATCTGGCAAGTATAAGTCGCTGCGGGTGTTTTTGTTAATTTTTAAACTTTTTTCTGGAGGTATTTATGAAATTAATAAACTTAAGGGGTCTACAAGTAATTAAAAAAATATAGTAATATTTCTCAAATAATGTGCCAAACAATATTTGGAGAATATGATTGGGAATATGGGTAGAAATAGGAAACCAAACGCACTCGATAAAACCCCGAAATAAGGAGTATCGCAAAAATTGTTAAAAGAAAATTATGGTGCGTCTTTTATAAATCCGTCTTCTGTTTTTCGAAAATATTAAAAATAATAGATAAATGCAAAAATGAAAACGCATTGAACATATTTGACTAAAAATAATATTCTAAAAATGTGAAAATGAAAATGCATCGAGCATGGTTCTTTGAAAATACAAACAAATGAACAAAAAATACAAAATTTATTTCGTACACAACCGATAAAACACATTTCAAATTATCATTTTCTTTTCTTTTAAAATAATTTGTATTAAATATGTCAGGTGTTGATTCTCCTTCCTTTTATATTTTTGTGATAAAATCTTAATTTGAAACTGAATTTTTTGTTTTACAAAAGAGGAGAGAGAAGATAAAGAGAAAAACAAAAAAAAAAAAAATCATATACAAACATTTTTAACACATTTTACAAGGGAAAAGAAAAGGGAGAAATGAATTCATAAATTAACGGTTTCATGATAATAAATAGGTAAAAATGATTAGTATATAGAGCACTTGAGAAGAAGGGCTAAGCAGGAAGCTGACAAAGTGCATGCAACTGAGTTGACACATTGCCTTCCCCTTCGCTAAAACCTGTCTGCTCTAGTTGCATTAATTACGCTTCTTCATTCTATATTTATCACTACTCTCACTTGGTTACTTATACTTCTTGGCTTAATGGCGGCCCTGTTAATTTTATTGTTATTTACCTTTTATGTGGGTTCTTCACGAGGGCAGCTGAAAATCGGTTTTTACTCTGAAACGTGCCCTGAAGCAGAGTCCATCGTGAGTGGAGTTGTACGAGACGCTTTTCTCTTAAACTCAAACATGGCTGCTGTTTTGCTGAGGCTCCACTTCCATGACTGTTTTGTAGAGGTCATCTTTTTTCTCACGAAATCTCTCTCATGATCATTACCGTATATATATTAATATATTGATTTATATATATTTAGGGTTGTGATGGTTCAATTCTGATAGACAACGGTGCAAATGCTGAGAAACATGCATTTGGTCACCAAGGTGTTGGAGGATTTGAAGTCATAGAGAAAGCTAAAGCCCAACTTGAAGATGTATGCCAAGGAGTGGTGTCTTGTGCAGATACTGTGGCCTTGGCCGCTCGAGATGCGATAGCTTTGGTACTATTGCAATTAATTAATTCTACTTAAAACATGCATTTTCTTTTAGTATACAACTAATTGATGATATTTATGATACGTACGTACAGTCGAATGGACCATCTTATCAGGTCCCCACTGGCCGCAGAGATGGTCATGTTTCCAATATTTCGCTGGCGGATGAGATGCCAGACATTAGTGACTCAATTCACCAACTCAAGACTAAGTTTTTGCAGAAGGGACTGTCAGATAAAGACCTTGTGCTTCTTACTGGTATTGTGCCTCTCTCTCTCTTTCATGCATGTATAGTGACTTTATGGTTGGTGAAAACTCAATTGATATGTTTCGTTACAATTGTTTAATTAATTAATTAATTTCAGGAGCTCATACAATTGGCACGACAGCATGTTTCTTCATGACCAAGCGGCTTTACAATTTTTTCCCTGGTGGTGGATCTGATCCAGCAATCAACCCCACCATCGTTCCAGAGCTTAAAGCAACTTGCCCCATAAATGGAGACGTCAATGTAAGATTAGCAATTGACAGAGGCAGCGACAAAATATTTGACAAGCATATTTTGCAAAACATCAAGGATGGATTTGCTGTGCTAGAATCTGATTCCAAGCTTAATGATGACTTTACAACTAAGGCTATAATCGACTCCTACTTAGGCTTTCTCAACCCAATTTTTGGACCTTCCTTTGAGGCCGATTTTGTCCAATCAATCATAAAAATGGGCAACATTGGTGTCAAAATAGGAATGCAAGGTGAGATTAGGCGCCTTTGTGCAGCTTTCAACTAATTTTGTTTGCACCTCATGTGTTCAAATAAAATTTCTATAAAGTTAAGTGCGTTTGAAGTTCATATATGTTTTTATTATTATTATTATTATCTTTTAATTAACTCAAATAAAATGTAATATGGTTATTTAAAGATCAAACAAAATTGTTCCGGATAAAAAAAATTAATGCGTAAGCTAGTGTAAGAAATTAAAATTATTGTTGGGTCTATTTTATATCATATTTATTACTCTTAAATTTATTTGGTTAGTTATTTTATGTTGTTAGTCTAATTTAATTAGAGTTTACTTTTGTTTGGGTGAATAAATATTGAAGCATGGTAAAAACCTAAAATCTAAGTCAATCACATCATAACTAATTTCAACGTAATTTCACAATTGAAGACTCAAGTGAAAAAATTAAAGTCCGAAGGAATCCTAAAGCATAATAGAGAAGAATAAAATAAATGGACCAATGAAATTAGCCTTAAAATTACAAGTGCTACAAGAAAAGAGAAGAGTTTTCTTTTATTATTACTGATATGATCGAGGCCCATTAATTGAGCCATGTTGATGCATGTTTATTAAATTATGATGAACACATGCCATTGTGGTGGCTTTCCACCACATTAACTTAGTTTAGTATTTATTATGCCACACAAGTGGCGTTAGAAAGTTGAAGATGAAATGAATAAGGGACGTGTGCCTCAAGTGATAGTTATCTAAAAGGTTTTGGGGCGGTTATTCATGGCTATATAAAGGGTTTTGTAAGCATAGTTGAAATGTGTTAAATATGTGAGTTTGTAACGAGTCATTCTCATATATTATCAATTAAGTTTAAGCCCCATATATCTGAATTTTGTGACTTTGGTCCTTATCTCTTTACTTTGTTATCTTATCTCTTACCATGAGTTAATTATTATATAACCCATTATTAGCAAGAGAACTCTAAAAGTACTCTAACTTCCTATTTTGGTACTTATGAGTATGTTCTATGGTTACCATAAAATTGGATTTTCCATATCAGACAATATGGTCAAGGGTGGATCCAATCCCTTTGAGGCCAAGCCTACCCTCATATTTAAAAAATAAAATTAAAAAATTGCTTATATAGGCCCACAAAAAAAAAAAATTGCTATTAATATATATATATATCTATCCTCTGATTTTTTTAAAATGAGAATTATTATACTATATCTAGGTCCATAAAAAACTTGCTATTAATATATATATTTCAAGCTCATATCATATTAAAAATTTAAAACCCTCTACAAGGCTCCACCTGTTTTTTATAATTTTATCCCCAAAATTATTTACTCTCCCAATCTATTTTTTCTCTTTCTCTTGCTATTTGCTCTTAAAAAACTTTGAAGACTGAAATTGTTAAAGCTTTTACTATTCAAAGTGTCACAATTACCTTTGTTGTCTATTTTATCAGTTTTAGGTATGTGTATTGCTTATTTTAATTTAGTTTATTTTAGAGTTGAATCATGCTTGTTTTTTAGAGGTTTTTTTATTCTAATTTGATGGAAAAAAAGCATGGATTTTGTGAGTTTGTTTTGTATTTTGTGTTTAAGAATGTTTCTGCTTTCCTAAATTAAACTTTAATTATATTTTATTAGATGTTATTCTTCACCTTTCACCTATCATTTTTCTACATTTCAAACGTCACTGTTTAGCTGTTCAAAATTATTAAAGAAATTTGAGTTGTTATCTATATTTATACCAAAAAAAGTTTTCCTTTTTTCATTAAGTCATATTAAAAGTCAATGCAAAGTTAACCTGATTTAAGTTTTGCTATTTATTTTTATGAATTATATTGTTGTTATATTAGTATCATTTGATACAATAAATATTATTACAAACTAAAGTTTGTCAGATTAAGATGATAAATGGACCTGAAGTTCCATATCATGAAATGAAGTTTAGATTAAATTTTGAAGTTTAATATTTAGTAGAATCTAAAGTTCTAAATGCCCTAAATATCAATCCAACTATGGATTTAGACATGAAGTTCTAAATACGAATAACAAACCTGAAGTTTTGTTAACATGAGTAGTGGATTGATGAACAAGAAAAATATGGTAATGATATCCATATTTGTTGACAAGTAATATTGAGATTACCTCAAGGACATTTTTATTTTTTTCCAGTTTGGACCCATTATATGAAATAATGAAATAATGGGTCATGCATGGAACTGGAAAAAAGAATAATTTTATTTAGTCCTGATATCTCTATACATGTCATTTTCATCCCCCATATCTATACTTTTTTTTTTTTTTTTTAATAAGATATCAGAATTTAAATTTCTAAAATATGGATCTAGAACGAGAAGTTTGTAAATACAAAATGTAAACCTGAAGTTTACAATATAATGAATATTTAAGGGCATGTTTGGCTTATTATTTTTACCCATATTCTCAATCCTATTCTCCAAATAATATTTGACACATTATTCTAGAAATATTACCCTATTTTTTTAATTACTTTTAGACCCCATAAGGTTATTAATTTCATTAAATATCCCTTGAAAAAAAAGTTTAAAAATTAGCAAAAACACCCCTGCGACCCATACTTGCCAAATTCCGGCAACCACCGTCGGTGGTAGCCGGAATCTATACAACAGCCTACCTGCCGACCAGAAATGGCCGTAAGTTCACCGATCTGGCCGAAAAAGGCCAGATCTGGTCGTAACGACGGCCAAAGAAATGGTCGTAACGACGGCCATTTCTTTGGCCGTCATTTTGGCCTTTTCCGGTGGTGGCCAAAATTTGGCACTGCAGGTGGTTGGGGTGTTTTTGTCATTTTATATATTAGGGTGTTTAATTAAATTAGCAAACCTAGGGGCTTTTTCATAAATTTTTAAATTTTACCTCGTAATACTCCCCTATCCAACTACCCAATATTATTCTCAAAATCCTATCCAAACTAATAAACCAAATGCACCCTAAGATGCCAGAATGCATCCTTATATCATGTATTTGGATTCTGGAAGATGCGAATTTTATTTCCATTACTTGAATTAAATTCTGAGAACCGAATTTCTCAGGATATGGTATCTATTGATCTTATAAAAGACTGAAGTGACAATTGAAAGGAGATTTTCTCGTTGAAGATCAAGAAAAGTCAATTATTTGACATTACAAAACAATAACTTAATAAATTATTGATGTCACATCGCAATTGGTATTGTCTGGTTTATAACAACAAATAAAAATATATGTTTAATATCTACTCCTGAGGAAGTAGAATGGGTATCAAATTGGCTCCTGAAGTAGCAGTATGGATACCATGATATACATATATTTAGAACTTGTTATGCCTAGAAAAGTAGGGCTGACGCAAAGCCCTGTCAACATAAGTGGTCAGAGCTTAGGTAAGTCCAGATACCGTTCAGGTGCAGTCACATCGCGTGCTGACGCAAGAGGGGTGTTCCTGCTAGTGCAGTAGGTGCACGTCAGGCTGGTGAAAGGTTGGAGGTGATCCACGTGTCCAATCCCTGCGAGAATCGAGTAAATCACTCAGGTAGGTGAATAACGGGGTGCAAGGAAGGATTTGGACGGAAATCTGACCCACTTCCTAATTTAGTAATCATTACCTCAATCCATTCAACTATAAATAGAGGACCCCTCTCTCGTTTGTGAGATTGGCTTATTTCTCTCTGTAATAGCATACTTATTTTCTCTTTGTAATCACTTGTAAGTCAGCTCGTTGAACGCGACCTGACTTCAGCATATTAATACAATATCAGTAGATGTAAAAGTCGCTTGTTTAAGCATTCGAACCACTTTAAGTATCGTTCTCCATCTTTTATCCATTTTCATATCCCCATTCGCGTGTATCTCTATTCGTGTGTGTTCTCTAGGTCAGCTCAATATTTCACACGTGCGTTTGATTGATGTCAAAATCACGCATCAATAGGATTGTTGCAGTATCTCTTAATTACTAAATAAATCAATGAGCTTTTGATTAAAATTATAAATCACTGCCAAGTTATTGTTTCACCAATCCCAAAAATGAATGTTGACAAATTAATGGTCATATAACTTGTTGAGCCCTGACAAGTGATATCTTTACTGTAGATCTTTGCAAATTTTTGATGAGATGGTATTCTTATGGTTAGAGAAATGATAAAGCCTCTTGAAGTAGGCATGAAATTTCATGGAAAGTGACTATTATGGCTCATTGGATCCTTGCACACTTTAATGTGAAAATGAAGTGCCAAGGATAATGCACATCTAAAATATTGTTTATAAAATGTAAAATGCATTTGTAGATGCATAACAAAATCATATACTAGAGAAATGTGTAATTGTGAAAATATGATCATCAATGATCAATTTACTTTTACAGTAGCTATTGAAATTATAAGGGATGATTTTAAGCCACACACTATCAATGAGTGTAAATAGTGACGTGATTGGGGGCAATTCAATAAAGTAAAACCCTATATATGACAAAAGAGTTATGGGGTGTGTGTGTGCGCACGTGCTTACACGTGTATGTGTATGTGTGTGCGTGCGTACATGTGTGCGTGGGTGTGTGGGGATGTGTGTGTGTGTGTGTTGGGGGGGTGGGCGGTTTGACATTTGGGGAAAAACACAATGGAATAATATAAAACAAAGAGCAATGAATAGTGTATTTTAATCAAAACCCATATTGGTGGCTCCTTCCCTTCAAAGAAGTGATTTCTTCACAAGTCATATCAAGTATAGAGTATAGACATGCACTTACTTAGTCCACACGAAAGCAAACTCGAAAAATCAAGAATAGAATGATTACTGGATAAATATAAACTATTTATGGTGATAAGAGAGAAGAAGGGGCAACTAGGGTATTTTTGTTCTCTCATTCTAATGTTTAAATATCAAATAACCTTCTCTTTATATAGGCTTAGGGTTTAGTGTCTTGTGTTTGGACACACACTTAACTCCATTTCATTTAGGAATAAGGCCTAACCCTATTCCATATAGGAATAGCCTACAATGTTATTTCACGGTACATCTCTTTCGTCTTTTGGATCGGAGACATAGCCATATTTCTATTTTCACTTGACTTCCTTATTTCATTAGATTCCTCATTCAATGTTGATTCTACTTCCTATTTAGGAGATTATTTCTTGGATTATTTACTCAGGCTATAAGTAATATATGCCAGAGAAATTATATTTTTGCCCTTGAAGAAATTTGGGACTTCCTATTTGGGAGATTATCTCTTGGATTATTTACTCAGGCTGTAAGTAATATCTACTAGAGAAATTATATTTTTGCCCTTGAAGAAATTTGGGCACTGCAAGAGTAATGCTTAAACCACATTTTTTTTTAATTTTAATACTAATTTAATTTTGAAGATATCCATATTCATTTCAATATTACCTTTTATTTTCAATAAATACAAGTATTGATGTATGTCAGATCCAAACACATGGTAGGTAGATTCCTAGAGATACTATCCGCTTTGGACCTTAGAGCCCGTACGGTTTTGGCCTAAAAAGGTGCCTCTGAGTGGTAAGGGTGTTATTGTGTTATATAAGTGACCAAGACCCTTGTTTCCTAGCCGATATGGGACTTTGACACCAACACAACCCCTAGGGGCGAGGGGCGAAGGAGTGGCCTAGGCAAAATGGGAATGTCATCTCAACACTTGCATTTAATGCATGACCACGTCTACGTTAAATACACAGTCAGACATCTAGGCAGAAAAGACAAAACCCCATTCTTGAACTGTATGAATTTTTGGTATGTAAATCATGTCATCAGAACATTCAACCCTTAGTCAGCAAGAGTTCACTATGCAAGAGGCCGCGTTGTCGCGCTCATGTTCTAAGACGGCAATTCATGCTTGCATTAGATAATAGCAGCTCAAGATCGCAACTTGCAGTGCAATAGTTGTCCAAGCAGTAGGCATGGGTTTTTGAAGTCCGAACTCGAACTCCAAAAATTGGGGGGCAAATGTTGTACGATCAATCCTTGAAGCACGAATTTACGCCACGTGTTATTCTTTTATGTTAATTTTATTTATAAGTTTGTCATTATAACAATAAATAAGTTTACTTTTCATTCAGATTAAGGATCTGACTTTGGATCAATACTTTATAAGCTGTATTTGTACATAAACACATAAAGCAATACAAGAATAGTGGATGTAGAATTTGCATTAAACATTCGAATCACTTTAAAAAAAATTTCTTTGTGTCATTGTTTGATTTATTATTCATCTATTGATCTAGCATTGAAGTTATGGATTTCTTATAAACTCCTATGTAGATTTCATTACAAATCCTATATACTTCTCGTTGGTGGAAATCACAACATCAACAACAAGCTTATTTACTCTATCCCTTATTTCATTCTTCTCAACTCGAAATTTAAATCACTTCTTCACGTCTTTTTTTTTTTTCCCCCCCTTTTTTCCCACCTATCACTTCCTGCTTCAGATTAACGAATCCAGAATTGATGGCTGAAATTCATCGGCTTCGTTTGGTTGGATTTTGGGAATACTACTTTTAGTATTCCCAAAAAAGTTAAACAGTAAAATACCAAAAAACTCACAATATTATTCAACTTTATTCAACATTTTTAAACCCCCTAAATTTGTTAATTCAATTAAATACCCCTAAATATTTTTAATGTTTTTGTTAAGGCAACTCCGGCCACCCTCCGGCGGTGGTGGCCGGCTGTCCGTATTTGAGGGTGGATTGGGGGTGTTTTTGTTAACTTTTATGTTTTATTATAAGGGGTGTTTTGTAAAAAACAAACATAGGGGGTATTTTAAATTTATAAATCCTATATCGAATACCCGCCCAATTCAACTTTTTTTTTTGCCCTTTTTTCCCACCTGTCACTTCCTGCTTCAGATTAGCCAATCCAGAATTGATGGCTGAAATTCATCATAACTGGAGTAGTGGCAATTACTTGCTCACTGAGCTGCCAATTGAGTCAATTGCTCACTTTGAATTTTATATTTTCTAAATCTTTCACAACACAATATATGATGAATAAACTAGAAAAGAAATATTATTCAAATGAAATTAAAACTTTTTTTATTTAGATCTTCCCGCTCAATAATTTCTTCTACATCAAATGTTATATCTACTCATCATGACTATAAAGATTTGTTGAGAAAGACATATGTTGGTGTCCTATATTTTTTTTTCTTTGTATTCTTTTACCCTTTTTAGTAATTTTATGATTATCTAAAGATAAATTTGTAATATAAAACTATTTTAAATTGAGGACTTATTAGATAATTGTTGGGGTGTCAATAATATCACTCATTAAATAATGATAATTGTTGGCTGTCAACAATATGTGAAATACTTTAGAGGGCTATTATAAATTGGACATTTAAAAAAAAAAAAAGAAAAAAGAAAAAAGACATAAGTTTCATTTATATCAATAAACAAGTATATTTCTGTCAATAAAAAAAAATACTTTTTTTACACTTTTTATGAATAAACAATACTTTTAAAAGAAAATGTCCTTTAATTGATAAATGTGTCCATTTATTGTGAAATTTAATAGTCATTTTCCTTTAATTTTTTTAAAAGTGCCTGTCATTTTATAATAACACTACTTTAGAAGAAAATAAATGGTTTACTGTGAAAAGATCATAATTAAGTCACGTGTAATATAATCATTAGCAGCCAATATAGCGAAAAAGTATCGAGTAGTTCTTTCTAGGGCTGTCAGACAAGTCGAGCAGCTTGCGAGCCGGCTCGACTCGACTCATCTAAAGCTTGAACCGATGATTATCGAGTCGACTCGGCTCGAACTTGATTTATAAACGAAGTCGAGTTCGATCATGGGGGGCTTGGCTCACAGGCTCGCGAGCCTAGGGTGGCTCACATAAGTAGGGTGCTTTTGTGAGTTTTTTAAACCATGTGGGGTTGAATGTTATATTGCAGTTCTAAAATTGAAAGAAAAAAAAATGAACGGACATTTTCCCCCTAAGTGCAAAGTAGTAAAACAACATTTACCCCCAAATCAATTTCCCCTAATTCGCAAGTCTCACAAAAACAAACCCTAAACCCAAACCAAATCTATCCACCGTGAAATCACAAACTCTAAACCATGTTCTTGCCATCGCCGATTGAAAAAACACATCAAGGAATGACAACTTTATCCCCCAAAGCTTAAAACCAGGTTTTCTCCCCAAAATCGACCTTAACCCTAAACCCCCAAATCGGGAAATTTGTCCACCGCAAAAGTAACAGCCTTCATCCCGTGTTCTTGCAGCCACTGATCGGAAATCGACGTGGAGGAAGCATGATTTCATCCCCCATAGCGCAAAACCCATTTTGTCTCCCCCAAATATGATCACAATGCTTCTCTAAATTCAAAGGCTTGCGAGCCGGCTCGAACTCGATCAAGCTTGAGTTTGAGTCCCTTTTCTTTGACTCGACTGGCTCGAGCTCGATCCTGTAGCAACCGAGCCAAACTCGATAAGTCAAAAACTCGACTTGGCTAAGCTCATTTACAGCCCTAGACTTCTTCATCTCCAATAAATTGTCTTTGTGGATTGAAGCGACTAACGAAAAACATTGTTTGTACTTTTGATTGAGTGGACAAGGATCTCTCACAAGCAAAGCCAAAATATAGCCCGTGGTTGGCATCAAGAAGCTTTAATATAATTAATTTAGTACATCGAACAAGATTGACAAGCTTCGTAAAACGATCATAGTTTGATTTCAATTAACAAAGAACGACTGTTAATGCTTCTTGAAGAGGCACCCATCAGGATTTTAAGACTAGTATATACTTTATTTTCGTGAAATTATACAGTAAAACAATACAAACATACATTAACAAATGAGGTAAAACACATTGATGCATTTTAGAATTATATGTTTTGATCATCTATTCAACAAAGTGTATGCTGGTAAATCTTTCACACTAAAGACATCCTCCAGTGCCAGCTCCCGTTCTAACTGTGTTCTTGTAGACTTCAAAACATCCTGAAAAAGGTAACAAAAACATGGCAAATCATTCAAACATGGTAGGGTATGCTAAACTTAACGAATCGACAATTCGTAGATTCAATTAATAAAAAATCAAGGGATGATGGATGTTCGAACAATTTACATTAAATTCCATATACGAAGCCCGCTTGGCAAGCCATTGAGCATCCATCATTTGAAAGGCTACACAATAAAGGTTATCAAATGCCATTTCTTCTTCCTTCAGAAGTTCTAAGAAACGAATTCCAGCCAAAGAAGATGGCTTCCCTGCACGCAAAACATAAGTAGAAAATTTCTCAGTCCATTTAATTACTAAAAAATCATAAATGGCAGAAGCACTAAGAAAAGTACGTTGACAAATTTGGCTTTAGAATCATCTCTTTGTGACTGACCAACATTTTTGCATATTTCTCAGCCTGTACGGAAATAAGGAGTAAACCAAAATAGTTACAGCATAAATCTCCCTTCTCTTCAGAAATATTTATTACCTGATTGAAGATCCAACATTTGTATCAACATAAATGAAATGTTGATGCCAGCTACCGCAAAAGGGTACTCCCACTCAGCTCTCGCTCCGTCTTGTTTATGCAACAATCTCTGAAATGAGTCCTGTTGAATGAAGACCAAATTAATAAATATTAGTTATAATCAGCTTTACCTTCAATATTAGGGCAATAAAAACCAAAGTTAATCCCAAGAGGAAAGATAACAACACAATTAAAACCTGCAGTAAGATCCTACACATACTGAACATAAGCAGAACTTAAAAATGATTCCAAAAGAAATAATATAGACATCCCTGAAAATTGAGTAGAATCTGAGAATAATAGAAGTATTTCAAGATGAATTACAAATATTTATTAACCTTTGAGTTTCCTTACCCGCGTGACAACTAGAATATGCCATCCATTTGGTTACAGCCACAAAGAATCAAAACCAGATTTCAATTACTACATATACAGACAGCTAGGTACATCCAATAGCTTAACATGTAACAAGGAAAACATCCCCATACTCAAAAACAAGCAAGCAGAGCAATTATTCCTAAAAAACAAACCAGATATGCACTAAACATACTCCCGAGAAAACTATGATTCCTCATCAGCTCAGAGCATGATAGTAGATTTTTATATCAACTTTGTTATTTAGAATCAGTTGCCAACTCATCACCTTTACTTTCACCTCTAAACCAAAATATCATGCCAAAACAACAATGTTTGTTACAGTACCCAACTTTATAAAGGGCAAAGCTAAGAAGCTAAAACAGGTTCAATTGAGGAAACAGCACAAGAGGTATTCACTGAAGAAACTCCAACTGCTTGTTATGCAACCACAATTTTCCACAACCACGGTTTCTCTACAACAAATTGTATACATAAAAATGGAGAAAAATTTTTTTTATATTTTTTCCTGCTCTAACATGTATCCTCTCTATTCAATATTCTTCAGTGAAATTAGTGATCATATATAACCGTTCTCTATTGCATGTCAGTACACAAGTTTATTCTGAAATCTAAATATATATACTTTTTCTATAACTCTCAGCATTATCTTATCATGACAACATGCATTCTTGTTAAGCACAAATTGCCACAGCAACTTGACAGATAAATACTATTCCAGGCCTCCATTTTGACAGGGTATTTAAGGGTCCGTTTCCGTTTGGTTCTTTTAGAATAATATTTTGAAAAAAGTAAAATTGGATGAATATTACGATGTAGGATTTGGAAATAAACAAAAATATCCCCCTATGTTTGTTTATTTACTAAACACCCCTATAATAAAATATTAAAAATTAACAAAAACACCCCTAACCCACCCATTAAATACGGACAACCGGCTACCATCGCCGAAGAGTGGCCGGAGTCGCCGTATCGGTGCACGACCGGCTGGATCTGGCCAGTCGTACACCGATATAGCTTTTTCCGACCAGCTCTGTGGCTAGATCTAGCCATTGACGACCAGATCTGGCCGCATTTGGTTGTCAATGACGACCAAAGATACAGCAGTTCGTTGATGACTGGCTATGGCCAGATCTTTGGCCGTAGATCTGGCCTTTTCCGGCCAGATCCATCGTGGATCTGGTCGGAAAATGCTAGATCGGCGCACTACCGGCCAGATTCAACCAGTAGTGCGCTATTATACCAGATTCCGGCCAGCTTCCGGCGGTGGTGGCCGGAATCTGGTAAATGTGGGTTGTTGGGGTGTATTTGTCAATTTCTAAAACTTTTTTTTTTGGGGTGTTTAGTTAAATTAACAAATTTAAGAGATTTAAAAGAAATTGAATAATATAGAATAATATTTTAAGAATAAGAGAATAAATGTGTATTTAGATAGGATAGGGAATAGAATACTAAAAAATTCTCTACCAAACGGAGCCTAAATTTTTTTGCCGCCTGAGCCAAGTTTTGTAGATCCTAAAATAGGCTAAGAAAGGCACAAAAAATTCCCAATTGCTTCAGATGAAAAATCTCAACTATTTTGAATGAATGATATAATTAAGATTAAAAATTTGAACAAGAAAAAGAGAACTATATCATTTTAAACCAAGGAACCAACCGGATACTTCTTGGCAAAGAAAATGAGATTCTCCAATGATATAAATCCTCCACCTCTTCAAATATCATTGAAAAAAAATTGCATCAGAATCCTTTTCAGGTAAAAAAAAAAATGTAATAAGTAATTTAATGTAATTTCCATTTCATACCGAAAATCTGTTGAAGGGTCTGTGCCTTGCCAACCCATTTCTTTCCAAAGCTCCGATTTCAGAGCTGGCAAATCCCTACCAGGACAAGCTAGCCTCCATAACTGTTTTAGAGCATCCTGCAGCACAAAAGTTCAATTTTATATGTTATAAGTTATGCTCTAAAACAAAAGCAAACAGGTCAGTCTTTCCCTTTCCTTTTTCTGGAGGAAAATCAAAATCAGTGATCTTCCCAACACAACCATTATAAGTTCAAAGTTTGTAGAAGAAATAAAATTAGGCAAATTTATACCTCAACCTTTAATTTGGAGTAATTATGACTGGGATGATTTAGCTTATAAGATGTTCTCACCCAGTTTGACACACTTTGATACAGTAAGTGAATTGTGGGCACTTAATTTGAGTACTTTAACATGTAACTTCATCCATAAATTGTATTGCAATTTTCAAACATGTAAATATAAATCCTCAAGGCATCAAAACTTTTAGCAATCGGGCATAACTCTTCACTATAAACAGATTTTCAAGTTTTCATTAATAACAAAAATGAAAAGGAATTAACCCACATCCACTATTATTGCTAGCTCTAAAACATTGAGGCGAAAATTAGTAAAGTAATAAAATTAAACGGAGGCCAAATATTAGTTAAGTAATAAAATTAAACGGAGAAAAACCTACCTGATGTTCCACACGTGATCCATCAAAAGGGACTTCCAGCCTTTGTTGTAGATGTCTAAGCCTTTCTTCCTAAATTGACACCAATTAATAGCGTTAAAGTCATACACATCAGTCTTTTTTTTTTTTTTTTTTTAATTAAGATCGAAGAAATTCAAATGCAGAAATTTTAAAAACATACATATTTCTTGGTTAAGTGCCATGAAATACTATCCATTTATCAAAACTAAGAGGTGAAATGCACAGCAATACAATATAATACCTGTAGAGGACTAAGTGAAGATGGAAAAAGCTTCCGACTTAGTCCATTTTGAGTGCCAGAAGAGAGAGGCAAAAGTCGTCCAATAAGTGATCCAGATCCAAAAACAATATTTGCTACAAATTTCAAACGACCAAAACTTAGTGAACAGGACACCTAAGATATTTCCACAATCAGCAATGTTATCAATAATCACAAAGCACTTAACACCTAACAGGTCATGAAGCATGATTTTTAAAAGCAATGACCAATATGATGGAAACTAAACAAAATAAAAACAGGCATATAATGCGAATCTAACTTATATTTAGTTATCATTACACAAATGATACATTGTGTTTATGGTTTCTAAAGTGTGTACCTCTTTGGTAAATGTAAAATGTCTTGAGAGTAACCTTACCTCACCGTTTGAGCAAACTGCCACCAGTTGGGGACATTTTAGTAATCCGAAGAAAAAAAAAAAAAAAAAAAAAAATGGAGAGACAGAAAAGAAAAAAGAAAACTAAATATAATTGGTTCAAGCAGTCATATACTAATTGTTTCTTCTTATTAAGGATTTCATTTAGAAACAAAACAAGTACACCATCCTAATAGTATCATAACCGAGGCAAACTTCTAAATTCAGGGAGCAAAAACCCCTAATGCAGATTTCAAGAAAATCATGATGAAGATAGAATAACAAAAGTGCAGTCCCACTAATTAAGCAAGTTTCCATAGTAAGAGATAATGCTCAACTAGCAGTCTGAAGTACAAAATATATCCAATCAGCCAAACAAAATTATCACAGATCATAAGCCATGTCTTAAATAGCCTCTCTTTGCCAACAAATTACATCAAAAGCAAGAAACTGCAAATTATCATGACTAAAAGAATCATCAGTAACAATTTAGCACATCACACCCAAAAACTGAGCTCATTGTGCAATTAGTCGAGTCAACAGAAACTACCACAAGTTTCCTAACTACCGAGATTACAAGGTTTGCTACTTTGGCACTAGTCCAACACATGCGAGGTAGTTTCTCAATAACCAAAAAAAAATCTACCATCATAGTATGAAAGACTACAAATACCAAATTTTTGTAGACAATTCGCCGACAACAACAATACAGTAACCGTCACCAAAAATGACTCCACTAAGAAGATGATCAACAACAATAAAACACACCTAACCATTGTGTCCATTGTGCAATCAACTGAGAAAAGAGAGAAGTCCAATGCAAGCGCTCCATTCTCCTTTGATCATCCCAAATATCATCTACTCTACGTCCCTAATATACATGTAACATAATTAAAAATTTATTTTAAAAAAAAAATATTCTTCTTAACTTAATGCTAACACATTGAAAGAAAAATACCTGAGAGACGGAATTATCATCATCATAGTTAGCTAACAAAGGTTCACTTAAACTATCGAAACCAGAAGTCTCCAAATGCTCACGATTTCTCCCATCAACATCTCCGTGATGGAGTCGCCGCCTCAAAGTTCTCGATGTCATCAATTCAATTCAACTCAACTTGCAATTTAGAAAATACCCAAATCAATATAAACCCTAAATCCCTAAACTCACATATCATAATTCAATTCTACGAACCAAGGATTTAATCAATTTAATTTAATGAATATAAAGAAAAAAAACAAAACAAAACAAAAAGAAACGGACGTACCCAAATTAAATTTAAAAAATAATAAAAATGAAAACGAATTGTATATAGACCTCGTAAACTTTGTCACTAAGCAAAGTATAAAGTTAAGGAACTTTGTTTTAATTTAAATAATTTAAATAATTAATTAATAATAGTACAACTGTACAAGCCGATCGATAAAGATAATCGCTTGAATAACAATTTACAGACGGTTTTGGAACAAAAATAACAGCAAAGACGTGTTTTACAGTTACAGACGTGGACTGTTTGGTAAGACAGATAATTGACAAAATTTTACCCATAAATACGGGTTACAGAAGGGTGTGTTTTTTATTCTATCTATTTTTCTAAAATATTGAAAATAATTGGAATTATGAAAAAAAAAAAAAAAAAAAACTTGTTCAACGTATTTATCTGAAAAAAATATTTGAAATTGTAGAATAAAACGCCTTCGAACAATTTCACTAAAAACGTATTTTTTTTAACAATAATTATCAATTAATATATTTATTATTGTTATGCTAGGAAAACAAGGGCTAACGTGGAAAGTCACGTGATGCAATGTGACCTGCTCCCGTCAGAACGGTAAGTACACGTTAGGCCTGCCAAACGCTATGGAGCTCCCACGCGTCCATTTCCCTGCAATAATCGCGTGAAATCAGCTTGGGAAGTGGGCAATGGGACGTAAAGCCGGATTATGACCTGACACTCACACAACCCATGGATTTAATGATGATTACACACCCTCATCTGGTTATAAAAGGGAGAAGACCTCATTAAGGGGATTCGGCCATTTTTACACTTGAATTCTCTCTTTGCAAACTTTGTATTTACTTTTCCTAATCATTTGTAAGTCATCCGCTGTTGCGACCTGACCACACATACTAATACAAATCAGTGGACGTGACTTGCTACCTTCATCCGAACCACTTTAAAAAGCTCCCATCGCATTTATTTCATATTTTTCTATCCATAATCAGCTGTGTCTCTGGCCAATCAACGTTGCGGATGTGTCGATTAGTGGTTTTAGAATCACGCATCAACAGTTTGGCGCTAGAAGGAGGGCTAATTTAGTGTTCATCTTCATCAGGAGAATCTTACCTACTGTCCTACAGCAACAAATGGCCCACCAATCTGAACCTGAGCAAGCTAACCAGTGCGTTGAAGGAGTCCCCTTGACCCAAGGGGATACCCCCTCCAGGGTACTTCCAGTTTCACAAAATGTTACAGGGGATATCTCGGCAGCTTCGCCGCTTGACCCCGCCATCAGAAGCTACCTGGAGAGGTTCGATAATACTCTTAGACGGTCAACTAGAGGCTGGACGTGTTGGACCAAGGAATGTCATCTACAACAGCTGGGGCGGTGCAACCGCCAAAAACGCCTGCAGGTCGCGCGAAACGCGGAAAGGGAAATAGCCCGTGTCGCAAGCACTGCAGCGCGTCGACGTAAGGGTAAGAAGTGGCAAAAAGTAAGCCTAAGGGCTCCAAGGACCAGCGAACACAAACCATGCCCGAGCAGGGTGCCGACAAAGCTGAGACTCGACGAAAAAGTGAATCCCGAGCTGGCCATGCCACGTCGCAGGTGAACCCAAGCAAAGGGTCGGGCGCGACAATTCCTGTCACCGCCAGCAAAACGATCTTGATCGCTATCGTACGGGTGGTCCCACACACGCGGGGCGGTTCGTACCACCGCGAGGGTCATGAAAATGCCCCGCACAATCCTTCGCCTTCACACGCCTCTAGTCAGTGTGTGTCGAGTGCGGCCGGAAATGCCGGCTGAGGTGAAGAGGAGTCGACCTCTGGACTTTCCTAAACCGTAATCGCGAAGGCCGGACTCGCATGGGTGAAAGCAATCCCAATTGCCCCATTACCACAAATTGAGGAGCTACAGCGAGCTCTGGACAGGTTAAGGGAGCAGCAAAACGAACAGGCCCAGGTCGCCTCTGCATCCCTTTCTCCCCGAAGTGCTAGTGCTCCACTCCCACGGGGTTCAGAATGCCGACATGCGACCATTTAATGGGAACCATGACCCACAGGATCATTTGTATGAGTTCAACGACCTGATGGAGCTCCACAGGTTGGACCTTGCAAAATGTCGTTGTTGGCGTGACGCTGACTTTCATGCCAAGCGGTGGTTAAGGTCGCTCTTGGCGGGATCGATCAGTCTGGCCTCAGATGAGCACGACGTTCCTACGGCATTTCCAAGCAAATTGGAAGTTTTTGATGCCTTGAGCTACCTCAGCAACATAAGGCAAGAAAGAGACGAATCTGTAATCTTATATCGACCGTTTCCACAGGGAACTCAACAAGGTGGCTCATGCCCAGAAGAGTCCATCGAACACTATAATAGCTGGAGTTAGCCCGCAAACCAACCTGTGGAAAGAACTGCAGGCTAAGGACGATGTTTCCCTCACCAGATTTATAACCTTGCAGAAAAATATCTCCGAATAGAGAATTCATTGGCGGCACTCCGCGTCGCGATCACGGCACTTCAAGCAGTATGTGGTCGGGGAGAAAATAGGAGAGCTGATCGCAAAGGAGACATTGATGATCAGCGAAAAGGGAAGAAACCCCGCTACGAACACAAGAAGTCCTATGCTCTGTTCCTTGTTGCGACCGGGACAGAGCTCAATACACTCCGCTGAACGTGTCCATATCTGCAATCCTTGACAAATCCAAGGAGGAGCCTGTCGGTGACCGGAACCCATGAAAACCCCTGCTACGGCCAGAAACAGCAAAAAATACTACTGTTTGCATGGATAACAGGCATCACACTGATGAATGCCGAGCCTAAAGCAGGCAATCGAGGAGCTCATCAAGAAAGGGCACTTTAAAGAGTATATGATGACTCTCCAAAAGAGAACCAAGGGGAGTAGAAGAAAAAGTGTCGTGATCGCAGCAGATACAGCAGTGTTAACATAATCTTTGGAGGCCCACACCTCGCGGGAAACACGCGAGGTGCGCAGGAAAGGTATGCTCGCGAAGCTTATCACGACCCGATCAGGTAATGAACATTTCGCAGCGACGCAAAAGGCTCAAAAGGAGGAGTCGATCACCTTTGCGAAAAGGAAGTAGCTCGCCTGCACATCCTCACGAGGACGCCCTAGTGATCACGCCCTGATAGGGTGCCATAATGTCTGTAGAATGTTGTGGACAACGGAAGCGCTGTGAACATCCTGTTCAAGACCGCTTTCGATAGATAGAACAGACAAGGCCGACCTGAAGCTCGCCTCGATGCCTCTTTACGGTTTACAGGGGATCACCTGTCCCCAAAGGAACAATCCAGCTACTAGTCACGCTCGGCGACTACGACGAGGTGACTAGGGTTACCGAATTTTGGTGTGGATTGCCCATCGCCTTTAATGGAATCTGGGGCGACCTCTGTTGGAAGCTTCAAGGCAGTCACTTCCATATATCACCTCAAGATGAAGTTCTCCACTCCAACGGGATAGGGGAAGTGAGCGGATCGCAAAGCGCATCTCGCGAATGCTACGTAAAAGTGGTGCAGATGGCAGGCAAGAAAGGGCATTACGTGATGTGTGCTCGCCAGGCTATGGCGATCAGCCGAATCGAACCACAGCCTGGGCCAGCAGAGGTAAACATAGATCTGCGAATCCAGGAATCCCTCCCAGCGGCCCGGTTGAGGACTGTCCGAAATTTCGATTGATCAAAAAAGTCGAGCCGAGCCGAGTGTTAAAGATTGGAAACGTTCTCAGCCCTCAGCTCCCTTTCGAGCTGATAAGCTTCTAAGGGAAAACATTGACGTATTTGCCTGGTGCATGCAAGTAGAGTGGAAAAAAGGGCCGGGTTAGGCAGGCCAAACCTAACCGGCGTAAAAAAGAGGGCTCAAACGGCCCGCCTAATGGTGGGCCGGGTTGAGCCCAACCCGCTAGCAACCCCCGTGCGGGCCGGGTTACAATGGTAACCGACGGCCCGCCGGGTTGCATTTGTCTCTTTGCAAGAGGCCCGCAACCCGAAGGGCTGTTGCCAACGGCCAACCCGCCGGGTTGGCCCCCAAAAAAAAAAAAAATTGTAAATCTTTTTTTTTTTTTCAATTACACTTTTACCCTGAAATATAGCCGTTTTATAGCCGTTGGAGGGGTCTTTTGTCATTTTCTTTCCCTATTTTTTTCTAAAATTGGCCTAAACTCTCATATTTTTTCACAACTCAAATTCTCTCATTTTCTCATATTCTATCTTAATCTCTATTCTCTCAACTCTCAAGTCTCAATTATTCATTTATTCTCTTAATATTTTTGTTATCAATTTGCTCTTATTTAATTTTATTAGGTTTTGCAATTTCAATTATATTTCCAATCCATATTCCAAATCTCTTTCTTTAATTTTATTTCTTCTACATCATTTTTTTTTCAACTACAAGTCTACAATGGATAGATATTCTCTCCCATCATTTCAATGAGAAGAAAACTATTATCCTAGTCCTAGTCCCGCTGATTTTATATGAATGCAGGAGATTCAAATAGCCCGCTGTCCCAATCCCAATCTCAGAATCCGATACACCTCAAAATATGCCGTCGATTCCAACAGCGCCCGGTGGTTCTAGAAGTCGCCTCGTATCGTCGCCTCGTATCGTCGTCCTCGTCCAACTTTATCTCAAGCTGAGGCGGGATCATCAACTGCCGTCGAAAGCGAAAACAGACACACATCAGACGTTTGGGGTATTTCGAAAGTTTTACGAGACAGAAAATGGCGTTCAAGTCAAGAAAGCAAGATGCAAATATTGGCAAATTAAAAGCTGATCAGGTAATGGTACTAGTACTTTAAAAGGCATGCTAATAACATATTAATCAACTGGAAATAGAGAAAGCAATCAAACTCAAATAACTAATATGGGTACTACTTGGCGTTATAATTCTGTGTATATAGGGAACAGTTAGCTTTATATATTGCTGCATCGATAACCTATTAATATGGCAGAAGATAAATATTTTGAAAGATTTGTTTAAAATTCATTTTTTCCAGGATTTAAAAGTTATTCTAAAACGCAACTAGAAATGATTAATAAAATTGTTTAAAAAATGAAATTAGAATATAAAAATAATTTCATACTTGTCATATTAGTGTGACTTTAACTGTGATATTTGGAGTGGTAGAGCTAAACAAGATTATATTGTGTGACTAGTCATTATTTTGATAATGAATTTAATTAAATAAATCTTATTAGGATTTAGATTAAGGATGTGGATCATAGTGGTTTAGAATCTATAATAAAATATTGAAGTTTTAGAAGATATGATATTATTGATAAAGTGATAAGTTTAACTTTAGATAATGCAAGTCTAATAGTAAAGCTATATAATTTTTTAAATAATTATCTTTTATATAATAATTTGAAGTTTTTTCACCAACGTTGTGCATGTCATGTATAATTTAATTGCGAAAAGTGGTATGAAAACAATTAAAAAAAATATTGATAGAATTAGGGAATCTTTAGCTTGGATTACTAGTAGTAATAAAAGAAATGCTGAATTTCAAGAAGCTTGTATAAAATCAAATATGTCTCCTAGAACTTTGCATTAGATATGCCTGTTAGATGGAATAGTACTTATTTAATGCTTGATTCGTTTACCTTATGCTATATAATTAGTTATTTTGTAGCAAATAATAGAGGTCCTCACATTTGGTAGAAAATGATTGGAAGATAGCTAAAGTATTTCATTCTTTTTCAAATGTTTTTACCAAGCCACTTTACAACTTCTGGTGTGTATTATCCTACTAGTCCATTGGTAATACATGCAATTATAAAAATTTCCGAGTTATTTACAAAAACAAAGATGATGAAATTTACATGCACCAATAAAGGCAATGGAAATTTTTTTTTGAAATATTGGAAACCCGTTCCTTTTCTTTATGTTTAGGTGCTATATTTGATCCTAGAATTAAATTAGCACGTTTAGAAAATGGTCTTGACAATTTAAGTGAAAATTTACAAAACGAATCATATGTCAATCAAATAGGAGAGGTAAAAAATAGTTTTTCGAAGTATTTTCCAATATGAAACAGGTAGGGAACCCGCAGTCGCAAAGAGGCGAAATATCCAGAGAAGCTGTAGGAGAAGAAACAAATGAAGACTTATCTCTTGGAATGCACTGAATAGGCCGAAGAGGACCGAGTCCGAAGCACAGCCTCCTCTTCAGAGCACCACCACCAACAACAACAACAACTAATATGCTGTCCTCCATGGAGTCACAGAGTAATGAACTTCAACAATATTGGCAACCCCGAATGTTTTCAACAGGTCACTTTGATCTCTTAGAGTATTGGAGAGCCAGAAATGTATTTTTCTCGGTATTATCAAGACTTGCCTTGGATGTTTTCGCTGTTCCTGTCTCAACCGTCTCATCCGAACAAACATTTAGTGCAAGTGGAAGGATTTAAATGAAAGAGAGGGCTAAACTTACTCCAAAAATGATTGAGTCCTCACATGTCTTCGAGATTGGGAACGATCGCGCCATCAAGATCAATACAAGGTTATCGACAATGCTTAGTAGAATCATTTCAATTTTGTAATATAGATGATACAGATGAGGGAGGTCCTAGTGAACCACCCCCAATTTAGTTGTTTTGTAAAATGTAATTTGTAAATTAATTGTCAATTATTGCACTCTTTTTTCTTTACCAAGTTTTTCTCCCATTGGGTTTTTCTTGGTGAGGTTTTTAACGAGGCAATAATTGTTGTAATTTCTTATTTTATTTTTTGATAAATGAATAAGTCTAATTTTTCTTATATTACAATTTTATTGTATTAAAATTGAATTAATATTTGAAATGTTAACAAAAAAAAAAAAATTGAATTGAATTGAATTGAATTATTGATATTTGAAAAGTTAACTAAAAACAATTATATTTATAATTATTTATTTGAAAAGTTAACTCTCCCTAAATTGGCGGGCCTAACCCGGCCCGCCTTTGTTGGCTGGTGGGTTGAGCCCAGCCCGCCAAAGCATGTAACCCGCCGCGGGCCGGGCCGGGCGGGTTACTTTTCCACCTTTACATGCAGATATGGTCGGGATCAGCCCGGACATTATTTGCCACTCATTAAACGTCAGCAATGAAGCCAAACCGGTTCGCCAGAAAAGAAGAACGATGGATCCGGAGCGGTACGCCGCACTAAAATCAGAAGTGGAAAACCTTCTCCGAAATGGGTCCATTCGAGAAGCTCTCTACCCGACCTGGGTCGCCAACCCGGTTCTGGTAAAGAAGCCAAATGGCAAGTGGCGGACCTGCGTTGACTTCAGCGACCTCAACAAAGCCTGCCCGAAAGACAGCTTTCCTCTGCCGAGAATCGACCAGCTCGTTGATGCCACCTCGGGGCACGAGCTGTTAAGCTTCATGGATGAATACTCGGGATACAATCAAATCCCGATGTATGGGCCAGACGAGGAGCATACGTCCTTCATTACGAACCGGGGGCTGTACTGTTACAAAGTTATGCCTTTCGGCCTCAAGAATGCAGGCGCGACCTATCAGAGGTTGGTTAACCGAATGTTCTCCGACCAGATCAGAAGGATAATGGATGTCTATGTGGACGACATGCTGGTCAAATCCCAGGCCGCCTCAGAGCACATTACACATCTCGCTGAGATGTTTGACATCCTCCGACTGTACAGAATGAAGCTGAACCCTCTCAAGTGTTCGTTCGGGGTATCGTCAGGAAAGTTCCTACGGTATATGGTTAATCAGCGGGGCACAGAAATAAACCCCGAAAAGATCCAAGCTCTGCTCGATATGGAGAGCCCGACCAGCAAGAAACAGGTCATGAGTCTAAATGGGCGAATAGCGGCACTTAGTCGCTTCATATCAAGGCTAACAGACTGTTGCTTGCCATTTTTCAATGTTCTGAAAGCCAATAAGAAATTCGAATGGACTCCCAAATGCGAACAGGCATTCCAGGGTATAAAAGAACACCTCGGGAAGCCACCTCTCCTCTCTAAGCCTCTTCCATAGGAAATCCTGCTCGTCTACCTGTCCGTATCTCAGTTCGCAGTCAGTGAAGCTCTGGTACGGGAAGAGGAAAAGGCGTAATGGCCAGTGTACTATGTGAGCAAGCGCCTGTCGGATGCCGAAGTGCGGTATCCGGAAATGGAGCGACTAGCCTTTGCTCTGCTGATCACATCAAGAAAGCTGCGACCTTACTTCCACGCCCATACGATCCATGTAATGACTAATTACCCCCTAAGGCAGGTCCTCCAGAAACCAGAAGCCTCGGGTAAACTGCTTAAATGGGCCATGGAATTAAGCCAGTTCGACCTGAAGTACAAGCCCAGGTCGACCATTAAAGGGCAGGCTGTTGCAGATTTCATCTCAGAACTTTCCTATCTCCCAAGCGAGCAACAGCCTAGCGAATTCATGCAGGAAAGTATTCAAAACCTGTCGACCTGGAACCTCTACGTCGACGGGTCATCGAACAGGAAAAGAGCCGGTGCGGGTCTTCTCCTTGTAAGCCCCGAGGGGGCTCGAATTCATGGTATTCTCCGGTTCGGGTTTAAGGCGACCAACAATGAGGCTGAGTATGAAGCCC